ACCCTTTGTCTCCAGGAATACAACTGAAATTATCCAAAACCTTCCAGTTTTGAGCAATCCATAGATGAGCTGCGGCTGGTGGACGTGTGATAAATTCTTTGTGGCGAAGGGATGGTTACAAACAGAAGTTTGGGGTTGCAGCAATAACATCTACCATGAAGCATGCATCTTTCTGGAGGCAATGAAAGGATGGGGCAAAAAGGCCAAATAGTTGTAATGTCTTTAAAAAAATATATAGAAGAGCTTTATGATTGCAAGGGGGAAATCAAACAACAGGCTGTCTGGGATCTAATTTGCATTTTTTGGATGGTTAATTAGGTCACAAGGGTTAATACGTTAAAAAATGGTCTGCCTATTGTTATGTTGGTTGTCAGAACCTATCTCAATCAAGCATAGCTGCAGATGATCGGGCATCTGTCATTGATCAAAATGGAAGTCTTCATTTTGTCTTAGAAAAATGAAAGGGGAGCCAAATAACAAAGAAGAATTCAGGAGAGTGCTCCGTTCATAAGCACAATAAGGAGAAATAGGCTGTTAAGAGACATTAAAATGTTTGTCACAGAGCAGGGGAGGTCTCAGGAAGGAATGTTTTCAAGTTTGTTTTTCCCTCCTCCTCTGGTGCAGATATGCTGGCGTGGGTGACATTTTCCTTCAGCTGTACTCACCTTTCTTTTGGAATCCTATTTAATCCATATGGTGTCTGATATTTTGGTGTACTTCAGGCAACCTTTCCCAACCTGGTGCCCTTTGGGATTGCTGCTCTACAACTGCCACCAGAGGCTCCCCATGTCAGTTCTGACCTAGTAAATTGAAGAAGCTATTTATTTTCTCGTCAAAGCATTGCCACACTGCTTTTCCACAAAGCTCAATGCAGCTTCAACCTTTCAACTTCCCAGACATACTCATGGTACTCAGAACGCCACAAGATTGGTGGACATAGACCATTTAAGGTTGGGTGATGTGCTGTGATTTGGAGATAACTTATAGCACAGCCTTAACCATGTCTACTCAGAAGTCAGTCTTCTTGAATTCTGTGGGGCCTACTCCCACATACAGTGGTACCTCAGGTTAAGAACTTAATTCGTTCTGGAGGTCTGTTCTTAACGTGAAACTGTTCTTAACCTGAGGTACCACTGTAGCTAATGGGGCCTCCTGCTGCCACCACGCAATTTCTGTTCTCATCCTGAAGCAAAGTTCTTAACCTGAGGTACTATTTCTGGGTTAGCGGAGTCTGTAACCTGAAGCGTCTGTAACCTGAAGTGTCTGTAACCCGAGGTACTACTGTAGGTGGGGTTAGGATTGCACGCTAAATGCTATATAGGACAATGTTTAAGAACACATGAAACAGATTCAGAGACGTTGTTAAGCAATTGTAATATTTCCAGACATCCAGGTAAATGATGAGTGAGTGACAGGTGATGTAGAGATTATTTACAGCGGGGTATATGGGTTCTTTGCTATGTTCATGGGGTGTGCAAGGATTCTAAGATGCTCCCTCTTTTTGGAGGAACAGACCTTACTATAGTTTTTCTCTCATCCTTTTGGCATTTTAACCACAATCATATAATCTTTCCTGTATTTTGTTAATATCTTGCAACTTGTTTATGTTCCTTGACTATCTTATCTTTGTTTCTGTTTTATCTTTGGAACATCTATTAGCATGCCTCTGAGAAAATTCATCTTTATTCATCTCAGGCTGACAGTGTGTAAATTGTAAGGTACAAAGATATTGATATTCGTGGAGGGGGTGAATTCAGCTTAAATCTCTCTGGGACATTTGTTTTGGTTTTGTGTTAAATTGAATTTGTTTAAATAAAACCATTTCATTGCCCGCCTTTGATCATTGATAAGAATGTTGAACACCTCAAGCAGGAGATTCAACGTATCGCCATTTATTCAGCCCAGAGAGAGCTTCCATACCACCTGATGTCAACGCAAACAAAAAGTTTTCCAGACCACACTACACAACACACACATTTGGTTAGGCGATGTCAAGAGATGACAAATCAAATGGTTCACATGGGTTTGTGAACCAGTCCACAAAGGGAAGGGCCATAGAGCAGTGGTAACCTGCAGAACATCTCAGGTTGACTCCCTGAGTTAGAGCCTACTACCTGAAACTCTGGTGAGCCACAGCTGGCCAATGTAGACAATACTGAGCTACATGGACCATTGGTATCAGGCATCTTCCGATGGTCTTTCAAGGGGCAGAAAGACTGTGGAGGCATAGAAGGTGCACAACACTTCCTTCAAAACCAGGAAAGGTAGTGTATTGTTGGGGTCTGGCATTGACTCATTTGAGCAGGAGGAAGGTCAGGATGGTCTGTTTTTCCCAGCACTTTCAGATTTCAGCTAAAATAATGAGAGAAATAGGAGATTCTTGGGGAAACCTGATACGATTTTACAATCTGCAATTTGCCTCTTGGGTCTTCCCCAGGTATCCTCCACTTCCTTTGATGTTATAAAGCCGCAACTACTTCTCTTGGCTCTGCAAAGCACCTGCAGATAGTTTTGAGCCTTCATCATCCCTTGGCATCTTCAGAGTAGGCAAAACTTTGACAGTGCTCATATCATTCAGCCCGGACACTGAGGTCCGGCTCCAAGGGCCTTCCAGCGGTTCCCTCTCTGCGAGAAGTGAAGTTACAGGGAACCAGGCAGAGGGCTTTCTTGGTGGTGGCACCTGCCCTGTGAAACGCCCTCCCATCAGAGGTCAAGGAAATAAACAACTACCTGACTTTTAGAAGACATCGGAAGGCAGCCCTGTTCAGGGAAGATTTTAACGTTTGATGTTTTATTGTGTTTTTAATATGCTGTTAGGAGCCGCCCAGAGCGGCTGGGGAAACCCAGTCAGATGTGTGGCATATAAATATTATTATTATTATTATTTTCCTTACAATGGAAGACACTTGAAAGTTTTGTCTCTCCTGGTCCTTGTACTGGACTCTCTTACCTTTCCTGACCACTGAGAACATGGTAGTGGCTTATGAATCACTGGCAGTGAACAGCAGCTAAGAGATTTGAAATAATTGTGCCTTGTTTGTTTGTGTGTTCGTTTCATTTACATCCTGCTTTATAGTTCTAATGGGATCTTCTAGGCAGCTCATTTTAAAAAATCCTCAAAAAGTGCAATATTGCTCCATGGCAACCTAGAGATCTGTGCTATGTTTGTAAATTCATTGATAAAGTGATTGGTGAAGCAGTTACAGTATCTCACATCCATTCTCTCTGCCCCCCTCAGTCCATTTTCCCTTCTCCTTCTGTCTTGCTTTAGGCAAGCAGGATTCCAGATGTTGGTTCCTAAATAGTTCCCCTATCCCACATTTACCCAACAGACAATGAAATGTCCCCATAACTTAAGTCTGTGGCATTAGGTTAGACTGAGAGATGACAGTGGGACAATATGTTTCATGGTCAGGGACCTTGCCACCACAAAGCAACAGCGGCGATGGTGGCTTCTGGCAAGATCTCACTAAATTTCCGTGGGATCTCATGCTCTCAAGTTATCACAAGATTCTGGTGAGATCTTGTGAGATATTGGTGAGATCCTGCTGGAAGCAGGTAGCAGAGGAAGTGGGGTGCCCACGAGGGGGTGCCTCTTGAGCTGTCACCCTGCTTCATGGATGGGCCACCCCTGGACAAGGAACTGATGCTGGGCCTTCTATAGCCAAGCCTACTATGTGACCACACTGATTCTGGTGGTCCTAATTTTGGCAGAAGAGTTGCCAAGACCTGTTCTCCCTGTAAGAGATCTGTGTCAGAGTGAAGACCGGCAGGTCTAGAAGGTTCTGCTTGTGGTAAGAAGTTGGAATCCACCCACTGCAGAAAAGGGGGGGAAATACGCTTTGCTTTAGGAGAAGCAAAGCTCATTGTTGGTCCAATGCTGGCTTAGAGGATAACCATATTGACAATACAATATATGGCTTTCCCACCCAGTGTTTAATACAGTATATAATGATCTGCGACTGTGTTATTTGAAAATTAGATGTATATAAGGTTAATTAGGAGCACAAGTGTTAACAAGTGCGTAGTTAATTGGCAGAGCTGTCTAGTGTTTGGAAAGTTCATGTTGTTTATTTGCATTTCCCTCCTGATTCCACCTTCTGCAGTCGGTTTAGGAATGATACCTCACACTTGTGGTCGACGGCTGCCTTGGCTCAAATTCCAGGTAAACTTTATCTAATGGGTTTCAGCTATAACACTTGATTGGTTCTTCAAAAATGCAAGGTTTCGATGGGCGTCCTGGACCTTTAGGTTTAAATTTCTTATAGTTCTTATAGTTCTTATAGTTTAAGTGTGTCACTCCTAGAGTAGTTTGGGGGATCAAGCCAATGAATACTGCAACTCAGTACTTGCAAGCAATTTCCACTGAGTTTGATGGTACTTACTTCTTCTATCTTATACTCAGCAATAAATCCCATTGAGTTCAATGGGACTTACTCTCAGGTAGATGAATAAAGGATTGAAGACTTGGTATTTTCTTTTTTAAAAAGTAATTACCCTACAGTTTTAAAAAACTAATAATCTAATTTTAGCTTCAATAAAGAAACCAAAAACTTGTGATTGAAGCAGCTTGTAATTAATTATTTGTACCACAAGTAATAAAATATTCTATTTCTGGGGGTCAAAAGGGAAGAGTTGGTGTTTGTAGATTTTCTTCATCAAGTTTCCTACCACATATATAAGAAATTCCTTTCAAGGACAAAATGTCTGTTTTACATTTATGAGAAGGAGGTCAAACTATTAAAATGCAGGGCCTGCTCCAGTTCTGCTTCATCAGCGTTTTTAAATCTTCCACTCAAATCCACTTCACGCCCTCACTTGAAAAGCAGTTCAGCCACTTTGTACCTGCTCTGATTCAGGTTAACCAGAAGGCCTTCTTACCATTGCATTGTAACAACTGTTCAATGAATAGCAGTTCATTGTACAGTTGTTAAATTTTTTACAACTGCTCGCAGTTTTAAAAATGTCTCTTTTCTGAAATTAAGCATGCACTAAAAGAGGGGCGCAGGTGGTGCTGTGGGTTAAACCACAGGGCCTAGGACTTACCAATCGGAAGGTCGGCGGTTCGAATCCCCGTGACGGAGTGAGCTCCCGTTGCTCGGTCCCTGCTCCTGCCAACCTAGCAGTTCGAAAGCACATCAAAGTGCAAGTAGATAAATAGGTACCGCTCCGGTGGGAAGGTAAACGGCGTTTCCGTGCGCTGCTCTGGTTCACCAGAAGCGGCTTAGTCATGCTGGCCACATGACCCGGAAGTTGTACACTGGCTCCCTCGGCCAATAAAGCGAGATGAGCGCCACAACCCCAGAGTCAGCCACGACTGGACCTAATGGTCAGGGGTCCCTTTACATTTTTAAAACAGGGGTCAGCAAACTTTTTCAGCAGGGGGCCAGTCCACTGTCCCTCAGACCTTGTGGGGGGTCGGACTGTATTTTGAAAAAAAAAATGAACGAATTCCAGTGCCCCACAAATAACCCAGAGATGCTTTTTAAATAAAAGGGCACATTCTACTCATGTAAAAACACGCTGATTCCCAGATTGTCCGTGGGCTGGATTGAGAAGGCGATTGGGCCAGATCTGGCCCCCAGGCCTTAGATTGCCTACCCATGCGCTAATACCACATTCTCCTGAACTCTACCAATCTTGCCATTGCCTTGTTTGTGGTTTTGATGCCACACACTTCTTCATCATTAGAGGCAACTGGGGGTAACACAATATGATGATAATGGTAAACATCATCACAGGAATATCATTGCCTCACGGTTGGCTTCTGTCTGAATCTCTCAGAGGTGGTTGGACCAGTCTCTATCCAACCCATGTCATTTCCGCATGTGTATATCAATGACTCTCCTCCATCTTGTTTCTATGTTAGGCTGCAATCCTAACCCCACTTCGCGGGCAGTAAAGCCCGTTTATAATTCAACAAGACTTACTTCTGAGAAGAGATGGTTTGGACTGCAGCTTGTCAGGGACTAGGCAGTGAGGACGAGTGGTGGAGAACTCCATCCCAAGAGGCTTCCAGGCAGCAGGAGGATGACGATAGTATGGACCCAGGTTCATAGTGGCGGCGAACAGGACACACCCCAGAAGAAGAAGCAAAAAGCTTGGAAATAATGGATGGGGAGCGGAGCAAGTAGCAGATGTTCTGGTCCTGAGACAGGACTCAGAAGTGGGAGAAGCAATGCAGCAGACAGTAGACACTGTTGTTGTTGTTGTTTAGCCATTTAGTTGTGTCCAACTCTTCCTGACCCCATGGACCAGAGCACGCCAGGCACTCCTGTCTTCCACTGCCTCCTGCAGTTTGGTCAGGCTCACGCTGGTAGCTTCGAGAACACTGTCCAACCATCTCATCCTCTGTCGTCCCCTTCTCCTTGCGCCCTCCATCTTTCCCAGCAACAGGGTCTTTTCCAGAGAGTCTTCCCTTCTCATGAGGTGGCCAAAGTATTGGAGCCTCAGCTTCAGGATCTGTCCTTCCAGTGAGCACTCAGGGCTGATTTCCTTCAGAATGGATAGGTTTGATCTTCTTGCAGTCCATGGGACTCTCAAGAGTCTCCTCCAGCACATTCAAAAGCATAAATTCTTCGGTGATCTGCCTTCTTTATTGTCCAGCTCTCACTTCCATACGTCACTACTGGGAAAATCATAGCTTTAACTTTACGGACCTTTGTTGACAAGGTGATGTCTCTGCTTTTTAAGATGCTGTCTAGGTTTGTCATTGCTTTTCTCCCAAGAAGCAGTCATCTTTTAATTAACAATGGGCACTACATCACTTGAAAGCCTGGTAGATCCTTCTCCATGGACCAGGTGCTCCCTTCACATCTTTGAGCAGAAAGCCAAACAGAGATAGAAAGATTCCTTTGCCAACCACTCTAGGCAGTAAGGAGGGGTTTGGATGCTAGGAAGTACCGCACTCTGGGCAACGCCTTGAGATGGAGGGAGCATAATTCATGGTCTCTCTGTGTGTTCTGTAGATTTAAACTGGAAGAAGCTCTCCACCTCTCTGATTTCACTCGGCAGCTAGCCCGCGAGTTGTGACACAGCCTTAATCTGTGAATCTTTTCATATTCAGATCGTGTAAATCTTCCGCCTTTTAAAAACACATATTGTTGCACCCTAACCCAATCTCTGAGTGGTGAGGGTTGCCTGTGCTTTCTTCACCCAGGGTTCCCTTTCCTCTGAACGAAGGGCAGACTGTGGTGTCTTTAGGGTGTATGGTTTCATTTACAGAAAGACGGGCTCATAACCTTCATTCACCCATAGATTTTGTTGTTCTGTGGTGAGGGAAAGACACGTTTTAGATACTTCTTTTTTTTTGTTTTTTTTTTTGTTACCCCATAAAAACAAAAGCACTGTAAACAACGCAGCGTGCCCAGGACAAAAGAATATTGCTGAATTTGTTTCTTTAAAAACATTTAAACCCTTCCTTCCCTCATAAAAAGCTCAAGGTAACAAACAACAAAATCACACCAGGATTTAACCATTAAAAATATCAATTACAACAACATTTGTAACAATAAAAACAACAGTAACACAGCCATCTATAACACAGCATCAGATTAAAACCAATACAATCAAAACACTTATCTCCCACCCAAAAGCCTTCTTTCAAAGGAAACTTTTAGCTTCTAGAAGGCCATTAAAGAGTTAGACCTCTAAGGCAGTCACAGTAAAGACTTTCCTTTGTCTCAGAAATAAATAGAGAGGTAGTATGGTGTAGTGGTTTGAATGCCTGACTAGGGCCTGGGAGGTAAACGGTAAAGGGACCCCTGACCGTTAGGTCCAGTCGTAGCTGCCTCCGGGGTTGCGGTGCTCATCTCAATTTACTGGCCGAGGGAGCCGGCGTACAGCTTCCCGGTCATGTGGCCAGCATGAGTAAGCTGCTTCTGGCAAACCAGAGCAGCGCATGGAAACACCGTTTACCTTCCCGCCGGAGCGGTACCTATTTATCTACTTGCACTTTGACATGCTTTCGAACTGCTAGGTTGGCAGGAGCAGGGACCGAGCAACGGGAGCTCACCCCGTCGCGGAGATTCAAACTGCCGACCTTCTGATCGGCAAGGCCTAGGCTCTGTGGTTTAACCCACAGTGCCACCCGTGTCCCAGGGCCTGGGAGACCAGGGTTCAAATCCCCACTCAGTCATGAAGGGCCAATCATTACCTCTCAGTCCAACCTGCCTCACAGGGGTTTTTTGAAGATAAAATTGGATGGGAAGAACCACGAACTTGGAGAAAAGGTAAGCTATGAATGTAACAATAAATACTTCGGAGACCAAAACCGACCCCAGAACTTTAAATGTTTTCCCCAGACTTATGGACTGAAGAAAAGTAAGGAATGCGGTGTATCTGAAAGGAATAAAAAATAGGATAAAATGTCAAGTCACTCCTGCTAGAAACAGCCAGTTCTATTTAAATTTACAACCTGAAATGTTAAAGTGAAGTTTAAAATGAAAACAAAGAAGAAAACAATGGACTATTAATAAAACATTGTGGAGATACCATTTGGCTTCAAAATTTAGAACCAGCAAACCTCTGCTGCAAGCATGTCGCCTCAGGACACTAGCTAAAGCGTGGGGACCTAACTGCAAGTTTGAAAATTCAGGGAAGCAAAGCAAGGAATTTGTGCAAACGTAAGGAAATGCCTGCAGATTTTACACCCAGGCAGAATCTTCAGGATGTTACCTTGTTCTGAGGAATATCTGCTGGTACTTTGCCAGGAAAAATATATTTAAATTAAACAGACTGGATCATAGTGACCTCTAGGGGTAGTTTCTGCTTCTGCAACTGTTGTTCTTCCTACAGAAAATAAGCAGCCTTCTATGGCAAAAGACTCGCATCGGTATACCACAGGCTTCCTCAACCTCGGCCCTCCAGATGTTTTTGGCCTACAACTCCCATGATCCCTAGCTAGCAGGACCAGTGGTCAGGGATGATGGGAATTGCAGTTTCAAAACATCTGGAGGGCCAAGTTTGAGGAAACCTGGTATACCATGTAAGACCATCATTTATATGAAAAACTTGTCAGTGTAGCTGCTGAAATGCCAGTTTTGTTGTTGTTGTTTAGTCGTTTAGTTGTGTCCAACTCTTCGTGACCCCATGGACCAGAGCACGCCAGGCACTCCTGTCTTCCACTGCCTCCCGCAGTTTGGTCAAACTCATGTTCGTAGCTTTGAGAACACTGTCCAACCATCTCATCCTCTGTCGTCCCCTTCTTCTTGTGTCCTCCATCTTTCCCAAAATCAGGGTCTTTTCCAGGGAGTCTTCTCTTCTCATGAGGTGGCCAAAGTCTTGGAGCCTCAGCTTCAGGATCTGTCCTTCCAGTGAGTACTCAGGGCTGATTTCCTTCAGAATAGATAGGTTTGATCTTCTTGCAGTCCATGGGACTCTCAAGAGTCTCCTCCAGCACCATAATTCAAAAGCATCAATTCTTCGGCGATCAGCCTTCTTTATGGTCCAGCTCTCACTTCCATACATCATTACTGGGAAATGCCAGTTAGCTGTACATAAAGCTCTGTTTCCAGACGAACTGCTAGGTATGGCCCAAATATCGTTTCCAATGTGCTGGAAATTCAAAAGCCAAAATTGAATTTCAGGCAACTCTTCTCTTAATATCCGACTCAGACATTTACGGCCGGCAACCTAGTTCGTTATGGATCCCATGACAACTTTGCAGTGTAAAGATGAGGTCACAAATTCAAACCTGTTGGAAAGAAGGCAGGCCATGCTTGGACCACCTTGTAAAATTATCTGGAATTATCTGGCTGTGTCGGTGACGTCCTTTGCCTCCAAGAGGAACTGGAAGCGGGTGGCGTATCCTTCCCAGTCTCCTGAGGCTGGGCTGAATGGCATGAAGATGTTGTCTGTCACCATTCTGGGTCCTTGGGTCCTGGAGCTGTAGCATGGATGTGTGGTGTGATGCTGTGTTGCCTGTGGCAGCTGTGTGCAGTGTGCAGCAGACAGCTCACCAGGATCCCACCTTCGTCACCAGTGAAATATACCCGGAGTCCTGTGGTGATTTCATGCTCTTTATTGCAGCTTTACATTATTTACGCAATGAGTCCTGTCTGATTGGCTGGCTCTGCTTTCCTCCTGGAGCCTGATTGGTCTTATCCTGCAAGCCAATCAGTTGTTGCATTCTAGGATCCTACTTGCCTATTGTTCTAGGATCCAAGCTTAGTACATAACAATTCCCGTGTAGGAAGGACTAGGATCCAGTCCAAGACCTACGCCTGGAAGGCACACATGAGGTGAGTCCACCTGGAAATTTTGACTCTACATAGTCCTCCCCTATCTCTGATACAAATGGATGGATGGAGAGAGAGATCTGTGTTGTGTTTGAACATTTCTCCCACATGTTATTCAACGGTTCTCAACCTTTTAATGAGAAAAGAAATTGCCTTCAGAAATTATCAAAGCGGCGACAAAATTTTGGTGGCATTTTCGTTGGTGTGTTGCAAGGTTCTTGCTGCACTGACCTTGCTGTCAAGGCCGGCAAGGAGTGCTTGTGAGTCATTTCTTTCTTTCTGCAAATGATCACTTCTGTGGTCTGCCCTGTCCATGCTCTCTGAAAACCCCATGGCACCCTTGGCACCTTGAGAATGAGGCAGGAAAAGAGCGTCCCCTTTCACAAAGGAAGAAAACAAATTTTGGCACAGCACTAAGACATATACATTGTTATAGCTGGGGTACCAGAGTCTGTTGGTGAATATTAGAAACTAACAAATACAGTGGTACCTCGGGTTAAGTACTTAATTCGTTCCAGAGGTCTGTTCTTAACCTGAAACTGTTCTTAACCTGAAACACCACTTTAGCTAATGGGGCCTCCCGCTGCCGCCGTGCCGCTGGAGAACAATTTCTGTTCTCATCCTGAAGCAAAGTTCTTAACCCGAGGTACTATTTCTGGGTTAGCAGAGTCTGTAACCTGAAGCGTATGTGTCAGGGCTGCCTCAGGTCTCAGCTCACAAAAGACCAACGCCAAGTTCTTCTTATATACAAAGGTATTTATTGGAGTTCATTGTTTGCTTCACATCAGAGGCGCGCAGCCCCACGTCTGTTACGCTTAGACCGTTGAATTCCCCTCTGAGTCAGTCCCTCCCCTGCACCAGTTTAAGAGTCTTGCGCTGCTCCACCTCTTCCTCTCTTTCCTTTTCCGCAGGGTCTTCCTGCCCGCTGGGGTTTCGCCCCTCCTGGATTCCCCTGACGCGGAATCCCCAG